TTGATTTGGATTTTTTTTATATTGTGCTTGCTCTGCTTAACATGCTTAGTCTTACCTCTAGCTTCTTTAACATATGGAAAACAGTTTAATAACTTATATCTCATAAATCTTTCATTTCATCAGATAATAAGATGGGACAAATCTAGAGCTCACCTTGTTTCCTATTTCTGGGGGATCACTCTTTTGTTGCCTATTTTCTGTGTCTTTAAATTGTTGTTTCATATATTTTTTCAGGTTTTTAATTGTGTCAGATGGGTGGTAAATCTGATTCCTGTTACTCTATCTTGACTGGAAGTGAAAGTTCTATTTTTTTATTTGTATTATTTAATTGTCTACCCTACCCCATTCAAATAACCCGCACAAACCTACACTTACACACACATGCTTCAGTAATTTTGAGCTTCATGAGGATAATGATTGCACATATTTTTGCTAATGATTATATCTTGAGCATGTATTGGATTCCAAATACATTTTGTTGATGAAATGAATATATATAGGTGTATGAAGTTATACTGGTATATGAATGTATATTCCTATACATTAGTTAGGTTGAGGCTAGCAGCTTACAAGCAACCCCAAAATTTTAGTGACTTAACCTAATAGAAGTTCATTTTTATTGATTTACATTCCAAAGCAGATGTTCACAGTTGATAGGCAGTTCTCTGTGAGATAATTTGTGGATCTGTGTTTCTTCTGTTTTGGGCCCTTGTAATCTCTTAGGGTTTTATTATTATCTATATCTGATGAATCAGACAAAAGAAAAGAAAGCTTAGAAAAAGCACAGCTGCTTCTAAAAATTCTTGGCCTTAGAATTGATACACAACACTTTTGCTCACAATCCATTGGTGTGAACCTGTTTTATGCTGATGCCTGGATGCTAGAAACTGTAGTCCCTGACTGAACAAGCACTCACCAGCAACAAATCCATATTGTGTATGGGGGCAGCCTGTGTGGTTACTGATTTTCAGGTGAAGGGATGCCAGAGATTATAACGTAGTGCTTTAGCTTTTTGGCCTTCCACAATTTGTTGCTGAAGAATAGCTTTTGGTGGAATTCTCAGGTAGAAGGTGGATTTTAGTACATTCTTATTAAAATGTATTAATAGATCCTTGTATTCTACCTCAGATCTACTGAAACAAAATTATTGTGTCGAGGTTTGAATATGCATTTTCAACAAACTGCCCTGTTGATTCACCTAAAGGGTGAAATCTACTTGTATAATATTTTCAACTTTTATTTTTCCTTAAAGGAGAATGAAATAACTTAGAAAATAAAACCCGGTAGGATAGCTTGCAGCCAGAGAAAGTCACTCAGAAATATCTGTACCAAATCCATATTGAGCATTAGCTCTAACTATAGCCAATGATGTTTACGAACATTTACTGTGCTTTTTTATTAACAAATATTTCTTGAATAACCAAAGCACTCACAGCATTGTACTAGGCTGTGAAGGGGGCAAAAATAAATTAGGTACAACCCCACCCTTATGGAGTTTACTAGTTGGGGAGAAAAGACATGTATATGTGGTAATGTTTCATTGATTCTGAGTTGTACATTTTTTCCATGAATATCTCTGCAATCATGAGTTTTAAAATTGCAGTCAGCTAGGCAATAATTGTGACAGTTGTCATTGCCTACTTGTATGTGAACCTGTTCATAGCTGTCCATGTTATTAATTTAATTGAATAATGTCAGTCGGGTGCTGTATTTGATCTTAATGACTGGGTTAAGTATCTTTAAAAGGATCTCAATACGATATGACATCAAAACGAAAGGAAGAAAAAAAGCACAGTAACAAATGATAAAAATCTATGTCTCCATCATTTTAAAAGAGTTCTCCCTGAAGGTTTAAAATGAAAATTCTAAGTGGAAAAAAAGCGCATCATATTATAGTTTCATTAACAGCATTTTTTCTTTCTTGATGTGTAAAATGTTCGTCTTACAGTTATGGTGAAGACTCCTATAGAGAGTGGAATTATAGACATTGGGGATGTGGAAGGGTGGGAGGGGAGTGTGGGATGAGAAATTACCTTGTGAGTACTCCATACACTTTTCGGGTGATGGTTACACAAAAAGCCCAGCCTTCACTGCTATACAATATATCCACGTAACAAAATTGCACTTGTACCCCCTATGTCTATAAAAATAATAAAAAAAAGATGAAGTCTTAAATTTGATGAAATACACTTGATCATAGAGTCCTGATATTCTGTGTTCTAAATATAGTTGTCCCTCAGTATCTGCAGGGGATTAGTTTCAGGCCCTCCCTGCCCTCCAGCCCCTCTTCCTGTCCCCCTTCTCCCGTGGATACTAAATAATAAAATCCACAGATGCTCAAGTCCCTTATATAATATGGTGTAGTATGTGCATATATCCTATGTACATCCTCCTATATATTTCAAATCATCTCTAAATTACGATACCCAATATAATGTAAATGCTATATGAGTAGTTGTTATACTGCTTTTTAAAATTCATATTCCTTTTTATTGTTTTTTCCCAAATATTTCAGTCTGTGGTTGGTTGAATCTGCAGATGTGGAACCCACAGATGCAGAACTTGCAGCTATGGAAAGCTGACTT